ATCACAAACAGATGAAAAGAGTATTTTACACTTCACATATGATCTTAAACCGTTTCAATTGAATAAATATAAATTCACAAAGAACAGATTTAAAAAAAATTGAAATAATTAATAAAAAGGCAACATAGATATGCTTACATTTATCTGCTCGGAGACAACTTGATAGAAAATCAAATTACATATAGTTATATCTGAATTAATAAATATCCTTATTCAATGTTTTCAGAATCTGTTTGAGTATTGTTCAAGAATATCCTGTGAAGTTCTAGGAATGGAGATATGGTGATATAAAGATTTGGAGTTTACGTTATATCGTGGAATAGTCCTTTCTAAGGTCTATGGGTGACCATGATGGAGCGACCAATTAGTTCACAACTTCCAGGCGATAATGCGAGAAACACGAACACATCCGAGCAAACTTTTCAATGATTTTTTTTATATTTATTTACTGTTGTTTAAGAACAAGTCAAGTTGTTTAAGAATTCTACAAGGATATGGTGTACTAGTTAGTTACCAGATACCGGCTGAAAAAACGCTTGGAGTCTATATACGCACGGTTACTAGAAGACCTTCTAGTAACCGTGATATACCTTGCAAATTCTTAGTTGTCACTATTTCATCACAATCGAAAGATTAGTACAAGTATGCAAATAGTAATCCGACTAACAAATAGAAAAAACCTGAATCGTGCGTGGTTGTCAAAGGTCAAGACAAAGGTCAAAGATCGTCGCCGGATGTCGAATCGGACATATTTTTTAGATTTTAATTTTATATTGATCGTACAGATAATATTCAGAGACAGCAACATCAATTCTATCGGGTAAAACAGCAGTAAAAACTTCTCCATGCCACTAACACGTTGTATGATCTCGTGAACGACACAAGTAGAACATTACTAACTTAGCAGTGCGTTTCAGTCCATGTTCAGTCGAACCATGGACGTACTAGAGTAGTACGTCCATGGTCGAACACAGACAATTTTAACCGGAGGGTTATATAACCCCAATATACGATAGAAAATATTGTCTATACAATACTTATTTAAACCTAACAAAACCCAAAACTCATGTTGCAAGTGCCCATGTCTTCAAATACTGGATCAAAGTTTTGCTTAATATTTATTTATTTATTTATTTATTTATTTATTTATTTATTTATTTATTTATTTATTTATTTATTTATTTATTTATTTATTTATTTATTTATTTATTTATTTATTTATTTATTTATTTATTTATTTATTTATTTATTTATTTATTTATTTATTTATTTATTTATTTATTTATTTATTTATTTATTTATTTATTTATTTATTTATTTATTTATTTATTTATTTATTTATTTATTTATTTATTTATTTATTTATTTATTTATTTATTTATTTATTTATTTATTAACACACAACATCCCCCGGAGGGGATGAAAAGAGTTACAAAACAAATATTAGTAAAAGAAAAATAACTACCTAAAAAGTAAGGGAACAAAAAAGCATTAAAAAAAGAAAGATAAATTGGTATACGAGGAATATGTTACTGGTTTAGTTTATGTAGGTGCTGCTGTCTTGTATTAAAACAGTTTTTTAAATATTGCGCTAAAGGAATTGACATTTTCTCGTTACTTAGTAATGATATGAATTTATTTTCATTACTAAATTTGTCAAAATTTGGTATACATTTATTAGCTACAATGTAAAGTTTTGATCTTATTTCCTTGTAATGAGGACAATTTATGACAAAATGTTGTTCATCTTCAACATGGTCATTGTCGCACATATTGCAGACTCTGTCTTTAAAATTCAAACCTATATGCCGGCCTGTTTCAATTTTCAGACAGTGGTTGCCAAGTCTAAATTTTGTTAAGGATTTGCGAAGTTCATTGTTTTTCATAATTGTTAAGTATTTTTCTTGTTCAATTTTGGTTTTAAAAAGTGTGTAGGTTCTTAGTTTATTTTTAGAATTTGATTTTTTCCTATTGTCATTATTTATTTCATTTTTCCACTCAGTTGTAAACTCTTCTTTTAATTTCTCATCAATTGTTTTTAGTTTTGATAATGAGATAATATTTGTTTCATTTAAAAGATAAGAATGGTTTATATTTTTTAATATCAAATCAAGTCTTTTAAACCATTTACTTTTAATAATTTTATTGACATAGTATGCTTCTTGAAGTAGAGTATTTGTGGAATTTGCAATACGATGGCATATTTTATCATTTGTTTCTTAATAAAAAAGTCAAGAGGTAATTTTCCCAATTCACTATATATTGCCATGATTGGTGTATTTTTTGAGATACCAAGAATGTACCGATAGTATGTAAGCTGGACATCCTCTACAATTGAGGGTCCTCTCAATAGATACATTTATGAATAGCTCAGTGTTTGTTATTCATCACATCGATTATCTTATTATTTTATAATGTTGTTTTTTCGGCTCGATAATGTATTATCGTATTTCACATAGATGGGACGCATGAACATACGAGACACTTAAATTGACGTTATAAGCCATGCCGTTACATGTATAGCAACAATAAATAGTAAATCAGAATGTTCCCGGTGAGGGCGCTGTGAGACAGTTTTATTATCACAATAGGCATATTTGTATACGAAGGATCGTTTATTTTATAATTGCACTCAACTTATTGAGAACGTTTTTGTTTTATTGTTATAATCTTTGGGTTAATCCCTGATATGCGGAAGCAGAGTCACTTTCGCTCTTTAGTGTATTGCAGTGTCACTCTCTTAGTAATCCGGTGAGGCCGGAGTGAGTGAGCAAATGTCAATTCACCTGGCGTCTATTAGAAATAAAGTAGTTACTTTACAAATACATGTAGTAGTCTATATGTATACATAGTGCCAGGATAATCTTGGTAACTGTTTTGTCGTCATGCCCTTGATTGAAGGATATTTTCCGACACAAAATATGAACAACAATCTCTGTTTTATACTAATATAGCTGTGACGTCACCGTGTGAAGCATAAATATTGAAAAATGTATTATGCGTACTTATTACTATTTTTTATGTTTTATTTTATAGTCAACATTTTATAGTTTTGTTTACTTTTTATTGTATTTGTTTGCTGTTCTGAAATATAATTTTCTACGAAGATCCCGAATATTTGCAATAAAGAATATTATTGGAAAAATAACACAAATCTCTTCTTTTTTGTTTTTGTTTTGTTTCTTAGAAATAGTCTTTGACTATGTTCTATTCAAAATGAATAATGTCAATAAAGTTATTATTATTATTATTATTATTATTATTATTATTATTATTATTATTATTATTATTATTATTATTATTATTATTATTATTATTATCTCGAACCACAGTAAGAACACGTGTTCGATTATTGTCATGGTGATGGATAGATCTTCGGCGCGTGACCTAGTTTTGAATTATGTAAATGGTTCCAGTTTTTCCGTTTAAATCTCGACATGTTGTTAATATAGAAATGGTGAAATTGATTCGCCTGGCGAACACGGCGTTTTACATGATTTATGATAATGTGCATTGCTGAATGAATGGTCTACTCCAAAAAAATCTAGGGGTGGCAGCTTATTTAAGGGGCGTGTCCGCATTCGGTGACTGACAATTTAAACGATGCGTTCATGAATAATTGTCGTCGCATGAAATACATATTTATGAGACACGTTCATATCATTTGAAGAATTGTATTATATTATTGTTGAAGAACATAGTAGTAATTACTACATATTTTGAAAATCGACAATCGGTTGTTTACACAATGATGTCACATTCGATGTTACGACACCGCGCACCTCGCCCGCTCATCCCTCCTATTAAATCATCTCACCCGTTAAAAAGGTGAGAGGCCACTTAAGGTATGGGTAATTCGACATATACCATCACAACTAGCAAATGTTAAATGCGTGCGATATGTATACTAGAAATACACAGCATTTAGGGTGATGGATTTTGCATGCAGAAGCCCACACACGTGAAAGCAAAATATAGAAACGTAATTCACGCGATGTTGTCGCTCTCGGGATGTGCGAGAGTCGCATGGTGAATGCATATAACGGGTTAATCAGACGTTCCTTCGCCTGCCTCGCTTTAAGTGGATACACTGATGAACCACTGTAGGATACGTAGCGGACACGCGACGAGTGTACACCACGTTTAGGCCGGTGTGATGATACTGTCAGCTGCATTCAGCTTTCTTTCAGAGATTGTTTTTATTAGGAATTCGATCTTCCAGATTAAATGCCGTAATTACCTCCGGCTGAAATGAGCATAAGGAGGAATTGCGTGTACATTCACTGAGATTCCATTGAATGTCATCTTATGGTAGTATATCTCTTCGAGTCTACGTTTGTACTGTGTTTCAGTCTCCATCGCTGTCATCGAAAGCGCTTGCATTAAAGGTAAGGTGCCACCAGCTCACATAGAACGCCGGTAGATAGATGCATCACCTCGCATATGCAAATCTGATTATAATATTCGAGCCCGAAATGAGCTCATTCAAATGAACTCGGTGACATTTTATTAGGATATTGAACTAGAAGAGAGTTATTCCGAGAAGAGAGTGATCCACGCATCTGCTTGTTTTCCAACAACCTCCTGGTTTCTTGAAATTTGGCGAATTATTACCGGTTGCTCGCTAGCTGAAACACTATCGACTCCACGCCTCTCGACGTCTGAAGTCATCCGATACATCGTAAATGTCCTTGATGCAACGATATTTTTCGACGATTCACAATTTCACTTATAACATCGTCGCATCTACTACTCCAATCGAGTACAAAAGAAGAGACAGAGATAATATCGCTGTTATTGTCATATACGGTTAGTCGCTTAGATTGGAGAGCCTGGGGTCGGGATGAATGATGTTGAATTGGCCCGTGTTTATCAGCAAGCCTTCAGTTGGTCACCATCCATTAACCAATGATAGGAGCATTGTTCTGAGCTCAGCACAACGTGAACAGAATAGGTAAATGAGTCTGTTTAATTCGTCGGGAGAGTGCATCGAATGTGAGATGGACATTTCTGCGGCGGCGACTACGGCGGCGGTGGCTCCGGTGACTGCACGGGTAAACATGAATAAGAAGCCCCCCTCACCGTGTGGTGGGGAAGTAGAAATTGACGGAGCGGTGACGCCGGCAAAAAACAGAAAAAGCCCGATCAACGGATCCGTTAACGGGATCCATCACATGCCGTGTGCTACTAATATTACTACGGTATGTGTTCCAACCTCGCATCGGAGAACTGGCAGTGACAAAAAGGTTGGCGACCCACAAGACAGCACGATGAAGCCGCCAGAGAACGGGGCGATGTCGCTCAGGCAAAAAAGACTGGATTCAATCTATCAAAAATTGCAGCCGAAGTTATTCGCAGCGAAGAGGGTGGAGGAGCTCTTATTTGATGACAAATTTTTAACGCGACTGTTTTTCTATTTCTGGCCGTTCGAAAGGTGTGTTCTTGCACAGGTATGCAAGAAATGGAGAGCCATTCTATATCAAACCAAATTCTGGCGTGACTTCACCCCTATCTTGCACCGACGGGATCTGTACGACTCAATCCAAAAGGCAGATGAAAAAAGATTCACCGACTTATCTAGTTTCTACCAAAAAGGCATCGAAAACGTATGTCTCGTGAATGTTTCAGATCTGGATATCTGCGAATTTATTGACAACTACCCACAGTCTAAAAAGTGCATCAAGGCGATTAGTCTGAAACGCTCAACCGTTACTGATGCGGGTCTTGAGGTCATGCTAGAGCAGCTGACCACTGTTAATAAGCTCGAACTCAGCGGATGTAACGACTTCACTGAGGCAGGCCTATGGTCAAGTCTGAACCCACGGATAACCTCTTTGGGTATAAGTGACTGTATTAATGTTGGTGACGACAGTGTCGCCGCAATCGCGCAGAGGTTACCTTGTCTACACGAACTCAATCTGCAGGCTTACCACGTGACTGACAACGTTATGTCGTACTTCACCCCCAAGCAGAGCTGCACAATGTCGATATTACGTCTGAGATCTTGCTGGGAGATCACTAATCACGCTATTTTAAACATAGTGCACACGCTACCGCACTTGACAACACTCAGCTTATCAGGGTGCAGCAAAATCACCGACGATGGCGTCGAGCTAATTGCTGAGAATATGCATATGCTGAAGTCGCTCGATCTGTCCTGGTGCCCGCGAATTACGGACGCTTCGCTGGAATACATCGCCTGTGATCTACCTAAGTTAGAAGAGCTGATTTTGGACAGGTAGGTGTGCTTAGCAACACAGTATCTTCATTTTAGTAACTATAAACCCCCATTGATAATTAGAGCGTGTGTCTTTCGTCGGACAAGGATATGTTTACATTGGTCAGCGGTATGGTTCCTTTTCCCAGTCGGGGGTAGGTATGATTAACAAGACAGCGGAATTTTAATTAGGGAATTCGTTACAGAACACTGGTAACCTGGCAACCAGTAACTGCCAGATATGCAACCATTATCCGTGATTGAGGTGACATTGTACGAATTATAAATAAGATTTCAGTGTATTTCAGTGGGCGCCTGACTCTGGTTCCGAGTATAACGGGAAGACACACGTGCATTATAAACACGGCCTCGAAGAAAAAGGGCAAATCAAAAATCGGGCCGAAAATCTTTGTATTGTGTAAAAATTCAAAAAAAAATTCTTGGTCTAATTCATAATATATATATATATATATATATATATATATATATATATATATATATATATATATATATATATATAT